AAACCATTTCAGGTGACTACCTCTTGAAGCTCATGGAGAGAATGCCAAGAGTGTGCAAAGCAGTAATCAGAGCAAAGGGTGGCTATTTTGAAGAAACTAGAATATAAAACATGTTTTCAGTTATTTCACCTTTTTTTGTTAAGTACATAACTCCACATGTGTTCATTCATAGTTTTGATGCCTTCAGTGAGAATCTACAATGTAAATAGTCATGAAAATAAAGAAAACGCATTGAATGAGAAGGTGTGTCCAAACTTTTGGCCTGTACTGTACACATACATACAAATATACATATGTACACGCATGTCTATATACATACACACCCACATACCCATATATACATGTATACACATATACTCATATGCCCACACGTAACACGTTAAACTGCACCCACCGGCCCTCTTCCTTGGTTTATTCTCCTTTTATTGTTAACCAGTCTTCCTTAATTTGTGTTACAATAAACTGCTTTACATTTTAACATCTGGGTTTTTGTGTTCTGTGCTGTTGTCCCTTTCCCTCCTTGTAGATCTGCCCAGGTGTGCTGCATTGCCTAACGAGGTGCAGTACACCTGGCATGGAGGAGGTGCTTCAGAGCTCCTGTGCCAGCAGCAGAGGAGAGAGGCTCTGGTGTGGGACTGCTGGTCCTGCTGCCTCTGAACGAGGGGTTTTTGTTGTCTTGTTTGCCTGTTTTAATTCTAATAAATCCCATGGATTTGATTGTTTTAAAGGTGTTTATGTGGTTGTTATTGGGTCAGTGATTGAGTTTTGTTTGCCCCATAGGGCCGCCTAAGGGTGGGCTGTAACACTGTACCTGGATTTGGCTATGTGATTTACAATTTCCAAATGTCATGTATTTTGTTTTACTCAAATTTAATGACAACTTGTTTCTATCAAACCATTTTTTAACTTTATTCAATTCCCCAGTGATTGTGGACAAAAGTTGCTGTAAGTTCTCACCTGAGCCCAAAATTTTGTGTCATCTGCGAACAAGATGAATTTTAATTAATCAGATACTTTACATATGTACATTCATGTACAGATTAAAGAGTATCAGTCCCAACACTGACCCCTGGGGGATTCTTGCCCCACTTCACAAATTGATGCCTGCTCTTTAAACAGCTTCCGACCAAATTCAATTTAATGGCTTAGAAATCCCCTGAACCACCCTTTTTACTATTTTCATATCAATTTGATCACAATCAGTAGATGTTTTGTTTTTGTATTTATTAACGATCTCAATAATTTCTTCTTCTTCTACTGGTTTAAGAAACATCGAGGCAGCGTTTCTTTCAGTAAGATTATCTTTTGTATGTAAGGATGTCTCTGGGTCAGGTATTTGTTTGGCTAAATTGGGTCCAACATTTGCACAAAAAAAAAAAGATTAAATTTATTAGATGCGTCTTCCGTATTACTTATGTTCATCTCATTGTCTATAAAATACTGAGGGTAACTAATTTGTCTAGAACCATTTGTAATTACTGTATTTAATATATTCCATATACCTTTAATATTATTTTTATTATTTTCTAATCATTTACAATGATACTCTTTCTTACATGTTCTCATAATACTAGTTAACTTGTTTTTGTATTTCTTATGTTTAGTTTCTGTTTCTATAGTTCTGTGTTTTATAAATTCTCTATAAAGTGTATTTTTCTTTTTACAAGCATTTTTAATCCTTTGAAATCCACTGGTTGTCATTATATTTACTGTTTCTACTATGTTGTTTAATTTGGCAGTTATCATATAATAATTTAAATATTCTTAAAAAGTCATTATAAGCTATATTTATATATTTTTCTTTATATATTAAGTCCCAGTCATAACTCATCAAATCGTTTTTTAATGCCTCCATAGATTCTCCAGTCCTGACTCGTCTCTACTGTGGTTTATTGTCCTGAACTTGGTTTTTATGACTATAATTGTGAAGACTGGTCAATGATATTGTTTATTAATGATCCACTTGCTATAATGTTATCTATGACATTAGTGAAGATATTGTCAATTAAAGTTGCACAGTGAGGAGTTATACGGCTCGGTCTGGTGATTTTGGGATGTAAACTGAGACAATACAAAGTATTGATGAATTCATCTGTCTTCATATGCTTATATGGATCTAATAGATCAATGTTAAAGTCACCACAGATAAACATGACTTTCTGATCTGATTTAGTGAAATGTTCTTCAGTCCATTCCTTGAATGTGTCTATGTTAGTACCTGGTGTTCTGTATATACAGCTCACAATAGTATTTTCCTTGTTTTCCATTAATATTTCTATTGTTACACACTCTAGTAAATCATCCACCACACTTTTCCACCACTTTGTATTTGAAAGTCCTGTCCACAAACAAAGCCTCCCCACCTCCATTCTTGTTTCCTCTATTCATACAGACCATTTCATATCCTTCTAATTCAAAGTCCCTGCCTCTGTCACTGTTGAGCCAAGTTTCTGATATAGCAATTATACTGAAAGGTTGTGTAAACTGACTGAGGTAATACTTGATGCTCAGGAAGTTGATGTACAAGCTTCTGCTATTAAAGTGGATTATTGATATGTTGTTTCTGTCTTAATGGTATTTTTAAACTGTTCTCCAGTATAATAGTGACAGTTGCCATTGCTGGTGAGAAAAAAAATTGTTATCGGGATCAATGCTGTTTTCAATGTCGTGTGGATGATGATTGTTATATTGAAAAGTCATTATTTCAACATCATCATATTCAGCAGTCCTTTGTGCTAACTGGCTCTTATCAGACAGTGTGGGAGTTAAGTTTGTTGTCATTCAGAAGTCATCATACCACTTTAGTGCTTACTGGTCTCCAGGTTGTTTTGGTGTACTAGTGCAGGGATGAATGATCAGCTTGTCGTGTCATAAGTAGGCGATATCTCCTCTCTCTCTCAGATCCTTCCTCTTTCTCCTCACGGTGTCTGTGAAGTCCTCGTTGATGTAGATTTTAGTGCCTTTAAGAGAGTTGGTACGTCGTAAGATGGCAGTTCTGTCTTTGTACCTCAGGAATTTCACAACGATGGGCCTCGGTCTTCCTCCTCCAGGTTTCCCTGTACGATGGGCCCTCTCCATCTTGATCACCTGATTCATTTGAAGCTTTTCAGCCAAAACCTTCTTCACTTTCTCCTCCGTCTCAGCCCAGGTGTCCCCCTGTGAATCCTTGATCTCGTCAAACACCAAGTTGTTTCGCCTGGACTGGCCTTCCAGATACTCCATCTTATCAGTGAACGCCAACAGACTGTCACACACTTTGAAGACATCTGCCTGTACTGAGTTACAGAGTTCAGCTTGCTTGGCGTTATCAGTTTTTATGTCATCCACATCCTTTTGCGTATATTGCAGGCTTGTTTTTATCTCCTGTAGCTACTTTGATAACACATCCATTCTGGCGTTTGTTGAGTCCATGGTCACTTTGACAAAGCCTTTGAAGTTATCCTGTTGTTGTTGGAGCAACGCCGTGAACATCTCCTTCTGCTGCTGCAGTAACTCGTAACTTGTAACCTGACTGAGTGACACGTACTCCTCGTCTGTTTTCGCCTCTGCCTTTGACGCTTTTGGCGGCATTCTTAGGACTTAATGCCCCAGCTCTCAGTGTTATTACCAGAGTTCAGCCAGTGGCAGTTGTTATTTGCCATGCTGCTGGAAGCACCACTATCTGCAAGTTGCAAGCTAACCAGCTGGCTAGTTTAGCTGCTAACTCTGCTCCCGTGTTTCCAGTCCACAAACCAAATCAGCGTCATACAGCAGGTAGAGGTCTTACCGAAGCCAAGCACTTCATCCAATGTCCTTAATCCAAAATCAAACTGTGGCAACATATAAATAAACTAACCAGCTCAAGTAAGCAAAAGCACCCTAAAATAAATTGCCTCAAAGTTTGTGATAAAATTATTGATAGTAATGAGTCTATTGCAAATGGTCTTAATAGTTTTTTTTTTTATTGAGTCTGTACAAGAATTAGCAAGTAATTTTAAATTTACTGAGTCATCTCCTGAAGAATTTGAGCATGATCACACAGACTCCTTTTACATAAAAGAGGTATCCCATGATAAAGTTAAAAAGTGATTGCAAACATGAGTAACTCCATGTCTAAGGATACCCATAACTTAAATGCTGCATTTATCAAGAAATATCTGAGCTGTCTGTTGGAGCCAATTACTTACTTAGTAAACCTGTCAATACAAACAAAAATCTTCCCAGAGAGCTGGAAAACTGCAATAATTACCCCAGTTTATAAATCAGGAGACAAAGACTTAGCAAGTAATTACAGGCCTATTGCCATCCTCCCTGTAGTCTAAAAAGTTCTGGAGAAGATTGTAGCTGAACAACTAATGGAATACTTAGAGTCTAACCAACTGCTTTATCCACAGCAGTCTGGATTTAGACAAAGATATTCCACAGAAACAGCAAACTGTTATCTGCTTGAGAAGATCAAAGCCTCTCTGGATAAAGGAAATGTTGTAGGGGCAGTGTTCTTCGATCTAAAAAAGACCCTTGACACTGTTAACCACAGTATCCTACTTAAGAAACTAAATCAATTCAAAATGTCACCTGAAGCTTTGAAGTGGCTCAAATCATATCTGGGGGGAGACAGCAATGTGTCAGGGTCAATGGGGTGAAGTCACATATGAATGCAAACAGCATGGGAGTACCGCAAGGGTCTGTTCTTGGTCCATTGTTGTTCACAATGTATATCAACAACCTACCAAGCTGCTGTCCAGATGTCAACTGCCAGATGTACGCTGATGACACGGTCATCCATGTGTCCACTAAAACACCCAGCCTGGCAGGTGAGCATCTGACGCAGGCTTTATTGAACATCTCTGAATGGCTTGACTTATCCCATCTAACTCTTAATGTTTAAAAAACTGTATCCATGCGCTTCTCCATGCGTAATAGGCCCGCATATGATGTATTTGAGGTCAGGATTAAGAAGGAGATCAGTGATGAAGTGAATGAAGTCAAGTACCTAGGCATCATCCTGGACAAGAACTTAAAGTTTGATAGTCAGGTTAAGTACATCTGTAACAAGGTTAGACCAAATCTTAACTGCTTTCATCTTATTAGAAGGAACCTGTCACATCAAGCAGCAAAACTGTACATGCATGCAATGATTTTTTTCCCATTTGTCATATTGCATCACATCATGGTCACAAGCTTCTTCAACCACATTAAAACCTATAATCTCAATATATAAGCAGGCAATAAAAATCATGGACCGGAAACCAATGAGATGGCATCACTGCCGCATTTTAAGAAAACACAACCTTCTCACCTTTGAAAATTTTATGAATTTTAGTACTCTTAAATTGTTTTTTAAATGTCTAAATAATCATGTGTTAGTACTTGTTTTCTGAACTGGCCATCAGGCGTCAGAACGACCACAGAGCGACCACACGAGTCTCCACCAGTGGTGATTGTCTTGTCCCAAGACACAAGACTTCATTCTGTCAGTCTACTCTTTCTGTAAAGGCGGCAAAACTTTGGAACTCTCTACCCACTAATCTAAAATTAGAGACCAACAGTAATGCTTTTAACAAAGGACTCAAACAATGGTTAAAATCAAAACAACAGCGCTCACGAGTAGTTTTAACTGGTTGATTGCTTGATCATGTTGCCTTTGCTTTGTAGCTTATGTATGTACTCTAATCTGAAAAATTGCTTCTCGTTTACTGTTGTATGTTATTGTACACTGCATTTTTTTTCTTTTTTTTTCTTTTCTTTTCCTTTTACATTTATTATTTTTATCATTTCAAAAGCCTCCTGTGGACAAGTGTTGCGAATTAGCATGTGTGCTAAAACACTCAAACAATGCATCTGGTCCGTCCAATGCAGTTGTGATGTCCACATAAAATAAAAAATAAAATAAAAATAAAAATGTTAGCTGTACCGCCATCAGGCTAAGCTAGCTTGATGTGTTTGTGCGGCGTGCTTTACACAAAGCCTCAAATTCACACACAAAGAACCAAACTGTTCAATCCAGATCAGACCACAACAAAACACACTGGAAGGTGAGCGGCTACACAGCAACACTACTGCAACACTACCACCGTAGATAGGCTACAAGTAGATTTTCATTATTTTAATTCACTTACCTTCAAATAAAATTAGGCCACTACTTAAAATCATCTTGAACATTGAACTGATTGTACGAAGTATATTACAACTGAAAGATTTTAGTTTTCCCAAGGCATCCTCTCACATTACTGACTAGCTTAAGCTTTAAACTCCATATCATGTCCACGTCCTCCTTGTTCATGTTCATTTTCCACATGTGGTGTATCACCTTTGACCTGATTAAGAATGTGGCGTGCCAGTCGGAGTCAAGTCTGACAAACCATAAGAAATATCATCCATCTATCCATCCATTCATCCATCGATCTATCCATCCATCCATCCATCCATCCATCCATCCATCCATCCATCCATCTATCCATCCATCGATCTATCCGTCCATCCATCCATCCATTCATCCATTCATCCATCCATCCATCCATCCATCCATCCATCCATCAATCAATCAATTTTATTTATAAAGCCCAATATCACAAATCACAATTTGCCTCACAGGGCTTTACAGCATACGACATCCCTCTGTCCTTATGACCCTCACAGCTGATCAGGAAAAACTCCCCAAAAAAACCCTTTAACGGGGAAAAAAAACGGTAGAAACCTCAGGAAGAGCAACTGAGGAGGGATCCCTCTTCCAGGACGGACAGACGTGCAATAGATGTCGTACAGAACAGATCAGCATGATAAATTAACAGTAATCCATATGACACAATGAGACAGAGAGAGAGAGAGAGAGAGAGAGAGAGAGACAGAGAGAGAGAGAG